AATGCAGATGCTCAACCACTGAACCACCCAGGTGCTCCAGAACTTTTCTTTAAAATTTGTCCTTCTGCTATTTCCTGAAGTTACTTCGTACTCTTTGTCTAAATATGTCATTGTATACAATATACGCTACAGAAAATGAAGGATATATAAACCTAGAAAGTGTGCTGGGTAGGGTGGGTCATCTGGAGAAGGACGATGCTGTGTGGTTTCACTCACATGCGGAAATTAGGAGACAGAACAAGGGGTTCAATGGAAGAGGGTGGCAGATCAAGAGGCAGATTCTTGGCTGTGGAGAAGAAACTGATGGTGGGAGAGAGTGGGTGATAGGGACTGCTATGATGGGCACCGGGTATTGTGTGAAGGTGCTGAATCACTATGTTGTTCACCTGAATCTGGTGTTGCACTGTGTCAGCTAATTGGAATTGGAATTTGGATAGAAACTTAAAAAAAGTATAAGCCCAAGGTCAAAGGGCTTATGGACTTCCCTGACCACTATTATAATATGTAATTCTAACAGAGAATTTGTTGATTTTAGAAAAACTTTGTGCTTTTTGGATTTGTTCTTTTATATTAATGGCACAAAATTATGGCAAAGCTTTCATCTACTTATATCAGAAAGTATTTGCTCATATCTTCCTTTACATATAATAATTCATTTTTTGCTCATAGTTTCTGTTAAGACCTGTCATTAAAACTCTTACATAACTTGAAATGTCTCTCTAAAAGCTTTACTTATGAGCCACACAGCAGAGAACATGGGCCTATCAAAAAAGAAAGAAAAAAAAAAAGGTCATTATAAGGTTCAGTAACTGTGGACCTTTGTGGAAAGTAGCAAAGGATTAGTAGTCAAAAACTTAAGTCTGACTCCTAGTTTTGCTAGTATCTAGCTATCTTGGTTTATAACATTGGTAACGTGTTCCTGTAAAACAACCTCAAGCTTATTACTGCTAAATTTGTTTTGGGGGAGAGGGGCTCACACGTTCTCGAGTCTGATAAAGCTGTATGTTTTCCTCAGCAAAAATCAACACAATCCACACATTTTTTGCAAACAATCAGGGGCTTCAAATAATCACTGAAGTCCACGTATCCCAAGTTAAGAACTTTTAGACAAGAGTATTACAATGGTCCTGTTGATTTAATATAAAAAATGCCATTTACTCATTCCCCTTCTCTTTCTTCCTCTTTCTCTCACAGATGCACTTTGCAGTTTTGCTGTTCCACCTATAAACATACCAGTGCTAACAAACTTATGCTTATAAAAGGGAAAAAGAAATTAAGTTTTACCTTCATTGGCAGAAAGTACTCCCCCCTTGAGGCGTGTGTGCAGGTTTCAGAATTGTATCCTGACAAACTAGATACAACAGTGGTTTTCCCTATTGCAATATTGTCCTTCAAATCCTCCAGTTGAGTTATAGTAGGCTAAAAAACTCGTCTGAAAAACTTAAAAATCAAAATAAATCTAGGGTCTAATAAGTACCACCAAGGAATCCAATATGAAGAGTACATTCTGATAAGGATTTAATTGTTCACATATATCCACAGCCACACTAGTGAAAGCAGTAGCTGCAGCTCTGCCAAAGACTCAGCTGTTGTAATTAAAGACAGACTCTCAGGAGCAACTATCATTAGTTTCAAAGACCAGTAATTACAAAGGCTGTGCATTATGTGGATTATACATTCCAAGGATATAGAGTTGCTACCAGACTTCAGGGACTATCTTAATAGGCAAAATTGCTCATTAAAGCAATCATCAAATTTATTCTATATAGGAGTATAAAATTTTCTGAAATTTGCTCAGCTTACTATGAAATCTTACTTCACTTTGTAAAATAGAGCTATTACTGAAAAGTTATTTCTGACAATCTAACCCTACACCTAGGTTAACTTCATAAAACCGCAAGTATGACAAAATAAAAACAAATCAGCCTAGATTATCACTTATAAAGAGACACAAAAGTTAATGAATAAAACACTGGTATTCTTGGGACTCCTGGGTGGTTGAACGTCTGCCTTTGCTCAGGGCGTGATCCTGGAGAACCGGGATCAAGTCCCATGTCAGGCTCCCTGCATGGAGCCTGCTTCTCTCTCTGCCTGTGTCTCTGCCTCTTCCTCTCTCTCCCATGAATAAATAAATAAAATCTTTTTAAAAAAATAAATAATAAAATATTTTTTAAAAACCCAAAACACTGGTATTCTGGAAATATTTGTTAAACAAAAAGTTCCTTTTTTGATAAATAAAAACAAGTAACAAATATGATTTAAAAAAAAAAGGCAGTGTTAAAGGAAAACTAATCCCAATAATGCAACACATTTAAGGCTTGCAGTTAATCAGATTCCATCACATCTAACAGAATAACTTGTAGGCACTTCTAATCCCCTAAATCCTTCATGAAAGCAAAGGCATTTAGAAATAAATGACAGAAGAAATAGGAACACAGGAAGCAAACCAAAGTAACACATTTACCAAAAAACATAACTGCCAATTTTCTAAAATTAATCTTCAGGCATAATGAAAAGGGTGATTGTTTTCTCTAATTTAAAATTTGGGGGAGCCTGGATGGCTCAGTCTGTTGAGTGTCTGCCTTCAGCTCTCGTCCTGGGACTGAGCCCTGCGTAGGGCTCTCTGCTTAGCGGGGAGTCTGCTTCTCCCTCTCTCTCCCTTTCTCTCTCTCAAATAAATAAATAAAATCTTTAAAAAAAATTCTGCAATCCAAGTACAGTATATTGTCCTTTGGTATAATAAAAAATAACTTTACAATTTAAAAATGCCCAAGTATAGTAGTTGGTGTACTGAGAGAAAAAGTGATCCTCAAGTCACTTGCAATTGAGTAAAGCACCATCATGATATATTTTATTAATAAAAGTAGCATAATTACATTTTACTGGTTGTATAAAACATTAACAAAATTTAAATATAAGTGACATAACATTTTACTAGTTTCAGGTGTACAGTGGTAATTTCATATGTATGTACTGTAAAATAAAACACTTTTAATGTATTAATCTATAAAATATGGCTGAAATACATGTTAAAATTATCACTAGCCACTAGAATTAAAATTTCAGAAAATGTAAATAAAACTTATGCTATTTTCCCTACTGGTTAACTATTAACCTCTAAAGCTAATTCCATTTTACCCTAGTTCTATGAATTCTTCATACAATTTTTTTGTTTTAAGTAATCTCTACACCCAAGTAGGGCTCAAATTCATGACCTGAGATCAAGAGTTAGATGGTCTTCCAACTGAGCCAGTCAAGGGCCCCAAATGCCTCAATAAAATCTTAAAAAAGAATATGTGCATGGCTATTCAAGACATTTAGGTATTGTCACCAAACTTTTGACATCTTTGTGATTAAGTTCAGATTTTAAAATACCTGGGCAATAAGATAAAGACATTTTTGATGTGTGTGTGTTTAAATTAGAAGCTTTTAAGAAAATGAGCAATGACAGAACATTGAAAATACCTATAAATAATCATTTCACTCCTCCAGGTGCCTTGGCCTCTAACATTAAAATGTACCCTCCTTTCCACTGAACAATATTTTGAATGAAGCCTAAAACCTCTTTAGGTTCTCTAATGAACAAAATTAACCATTTTCTAAATGTGAATTCAATGACCCTTTTCTTAAAGCTTGTACCACTTCTCTCTCCACAGAGTTAACACATAATTGTCAAAAAGCAAAGTCAAAAACTTAAATAAACGAACTATACAATCTTGTCACTTCCACTGTATACTTCCCAAGAGTCCCACATTTCTGCTGTCACCCAAAAGGCAAACAGTGCACTTATGGTGTTGGGGTGCTTTACATTGCACTTGGAGCCCACAGTTTTTAAAACTGGAGGGGAACTGTGTTCTTTTAAAGCCTTGGGGTTACCAATAACCCTGGACCTTTTCACTTTCTGTAACTTCATTACTAAACAGTGTCTCCCACACCGCCACCAGGGCGGCGGAGCACCTCAAGCTGAGCATTCCAAGTATATCCGACCCTAGAGGGGAAATGATGGAAACTGGGCAGCCCCGGTGGCTCAGCGGTTTAGCGCCGCCTCCAGCCCGGGGTATGATCCTGGAGTCCCGGGACCGAGTCCCATATTGGGCTCCCTGCATGGAGCCTGCTTCTCCCTCTGCCTGTGTCTCTGCCGCCCTCTCTCTCTCTCTCAGGAATAAATAAACAAAATTTTGAAGTAGAAAAAAAAAAAAAAGAAATGATGGAAACTGCCTCAGAAGAGATGAGTTAGGAACGGGCTTCAGTAGTGGCTCATACTAAACTACCTGACGGTCAGGAGACTTTCTCTACACCCACAGCCCTGTGGGACCCGAAAAGTTTCAGTACGTTCAAACAGGTGAACCAAGACGTCAAGAACTCAAGGCGAAGCAGTCTCGCAAAACCTCCACTCAGCCCTGTTTACAACGGCCGAGGCGCCACGGACACGCGGCGGCCGCCTCCCCGGGCGCGTCGGAGGATGCTCCCCTCGGGCTCACCTGCACGCCCGCCTCCCGAGCCGCCCTCGCCTACCCGAGCGCCCCCACGTCCACCGGCTGCTGCAGCGAGACAGCGGGCGGCCGGCACCGGCGGGCATCTTCTGAGTGCGGGCTCGCGCGGGGGGTCCGGGGGGTCCGGGGGGCCCGGGCGGCTCGGCGCCTCTCTCGGCGGCGCGAGAGCAGCAGTCACCCGGGCGGCGTTCCTCGCCTCTGCGCTCGCGAGCCGCTGGGCAGCGCGTGGGGCCCGAGTCGCGGCCCGAGTCGCGGCCCGAGTGGGCGGCGCCCCGGCGAGGCCCCGCCCCGCCCCGGCGAGCCCGCCCCCGGCGGGGGAGGGAGGGCGCGCGCGGCCTGGAGCCTGGGCTGAAGGAACGCTGGAGGCGCCAGGCTCCGCGCCGAGGCTCACAGGACTCGCGCTGCTGCTCCCTGCGACCTTCCCGCAGCTGAGCCTCCCGGAAGCCGGGTTCTCAGCCACGTCCAGGCTGTAGGGTCCCCTCCAACCCCGTGCCTCATCTTCCCCACATGCCCACAGAGGCGTCGGGCGACCTCAATGGCGCTCCGCACGGGAGCAAACGGGGCGCGAGCGTGGGAAGTGGCTCATCTGGGGGAAGCGGACACTTCACCTTCAGGACCAGGGCGCCCGCGCCCACGGGGGGCCCGCCTCTGGGCTCAAGTAAAGAATCTCTGAACTTTGAGGCCCTTGCGGGCTTAGTGTGGGGGGGCCGGTGACCCTCGCGGGGTTCTAAGTTCAAGCCCCACGTTGGGTGTAGAGATTACTTTAAAAAAAAAATCTTTAAAAAAAAAGTCCGCGAGCTTCGTTATAATAGCCTTTCCCTCTGTGATTCGCCGAGAACCTGGCCTGTTTCTACACCGCCCTGCCGCCACGTGCCCCACACCCACCTTCGGCAGCCTGGTTTGTCCAGTCAGCTCCTCAGACTCTAAGTCTTCCCGGCGAAACACAGCTGCTCGCACCTGCTTCCTCGGAAACTTCAGGAACAAAGCGGGGCTCGCCCCACACGTGCGCACGCGGAGGCTTCTGGGCGGGGAGGGGGCGCTTGTGCGCCTGCGCAGAGCACGCGGTGGGGCCTGAGGAGCTCTGAGGTGCTGGGGGCTGGGCCCGAGGGGGTGCTAGGGGCCGCGTGGGAAGGGACTTCATAGGCCAGTCGGTGTCCTACCGTGGGATGCGTGCTCAGTAAACTTGCACACAGTAGGCGCTCAACAAACATTGGTTGAATGACCATGTGAATGGAATGTTATCGCGACTGGCACCCTTTCAACTCAGATGAAAGCCTGGCTTCTCTTCCTTAAATTGGGCGAATGGGCCTTGCTTAAGTAAACCCCCAGGCATCCTCAGTTCTTAGGAAGGGGCCATTCTGGTACATGTTTGGTTGACTTTATAATTTAAAATTTTTGGAAGGGGGGATCCCTGGGTGGCGCGGCGGTTTGGCGCCTGCCTTTGGCCGAGGGCGCAATCCTGGAGACTCGGGATCGAATCCCACGTCGGGCTCCCGGCATGGAGCCTGCTTCTCCCTCTGCCTGTGTCTCTGCCTCTCTCTCTTTCTCTCTCTGTGACTATCATAAATAAATAAAAAATTTAAAAAATAAAATAAAATTTTTGGAAGGGCTTCACATGTTCCGCAGGTAATGGCCAACTGCCTTAGTTAAGGCTTGAGCCTGAAGGTAGCAAACACGTCACAAATTTGGGGGATCTGAGAGATCAAGATTTTTAAGACTCCGAGTATTCAGAAAATTAAATCTTAGTTGCATGGCTCTTCCGGCTGTATTCAAGGAGTATGTAGACCAGAGAATCCAGGTTCTCCAGTACAGTAACTTGGATCTAATTTCACATTTGCATGCCTGAAGCATCCTGCAGTATTTACAGATAAAGATGTTGAGGCAAGGAACCCAAAGGATACAGCATCCCATTTCCCAATAGTCACTCATTATATGGCAAATTTTAAATGTACTTTAAAACCTGAATGTAACAGGAGACGTAAAAAAAAAAATACACAGGTTTTTGCTCCTTTGTTTTAATTTAGATTGAAAGGGGAGCTTCATGGATCTATGAATACACTAACACGATATGAAAATGTTTAAGTTCAATTTAGACGGAAAAGGTTCTATAACTGTTACCAGACTCTCAGATATGTGACTCTCCCCAAAGTGGTAAGAACCACTTCTTATTTATGTGCCTGTAAAACGTTAGTATTTTAAAAAATTATTTTAAGTTCCAGTTTTACTCCATGTGTAAAATAACATTTTATTGTTCCTCTTAATAATCTGTTTTGAGGGACATCTGGGGGCTCAGTTGGTTAAGCAACAGAATCTTGGTTTTGACTCAGGTCATGATCTCAGGTCCTGAGATTGAGTCCCCTCTTCCCGGGCTCAGTACAGAGTCTGCTTGAGATTTTCTCTTTCTCCTTCTCCCTGTCCATTTGCTCCTCCCCCAACTCATGAGCTGTCTTTTGCTCTCATATAAATAAATTATTTTTAAAAATCTATTTGATATTAAAAGTTCAAAATTAATCTATTTCTCATTTTCTCCTTCACTGACCCTTATCTTTCCTTTTTGTTGTTGTTGTTGTTGTTGAAAGTAATCTCTCTACCCAACAAGGGGCTTGAACTCACGACCCTGAGATCCAAGAGTGACAGGTTCTACCCACTGAGCCAGCCAGGTGCCCCTTTTATCCTTCCTTTTACGCTTAAGTATTAGGGTACCAGGGTGATTCAGTCCTTCCTTTCCACTTCCCTGGGTGGCTCAGTTAGTTGTTGGACTATTGATCTCACTTCAGGTCTTGATTTCAGGGTTGTGAGTTCTAGCCCTGCATTGGGCTTCATGCTGGACATGAGGCCTATTTAAAAATAAAAATTAAAAAAAGAAAAAGAATTAGGGTACCCAGCAACTGTACTCCTAGGAACTTGCACCCAAGAGACATGTATAAGAACTCCATACCAACACTGTTCATAATAGCCAAATACTGGAAACAACCCAAATATCTATCAATGAAAATGGTGGCATATTCATCCACTGGTATATTTAACAGCAATGAAAACAACAAACTATTTATATGCAATAACATGAGGAGATACACAATAGTGAGGGAACGAAATCAGGCAGAAAAGAATACATATTGTGAATTGCCATTTACATACAGTTCAAAAATAGGCAAAACTGTGATGCCTGGGTGGCTCAGCGGGTGGATCATGGTTGAGCATATGCCTTCAGCTCGGGGTGTCATCCCGGGGTTCTGGGATCAGGTCCCACCTCAGGCTCCCTACATGGAGCCTGCTACTCCCTCTGCCTGTCTCCGCCTCTCTCTCTGTCTCTCATGAATAAATAAATAAAAATCTTTAAAAAAAATAGGCAAAACTAGGCTCATTTAGGGATGCATACTTGCATGGTTAAAGTATACAGAAAAGCAAAAAGTGATTTCCAAGAAAGTGTGTTGCAGCACTATACGTGATTTTTATTTTCTTCTTTGTGTTTCTCTGTAACTTTCAAATTTCTTTTTTTAAAAAGATGTTATTTGTTTATTTGAAAGAGAAAGTGAGCAAGAGAGAGAGAGAGTGAAAACACAAGCAAGGAGGGGCAGAGGGAGAGGAAGAAGGAGACTCCCCACTGATTAGGGGCTACATCCTAGGACCCAGGGATCATGATCTGAGCTTAAGGCAGATGCTTAACTTGAGCCACCCGGGTGGTCTGTAGCTTTCAAATTTCTTAAAATGGACATATATCATCAGTAGGAAAAAATAGATGTTATTTTTAAAAGTTGAAATATAGTTGACATACGTAAGTTTCAGGTGTACAACATACTGAAATTGACAATTATATGCATTATGAAATGCTCAAATGTAGTTACCATCTGTAACCATACAAAGGTATTACAGTATTATTGACTCTATTTCCCATGCTGTACTTTTCATCCTTATGATTTATTTTATAAGCTGGAGTTTATACCTCCTAATCGGCTTCAACTATTTCACCTGTCCCTGCTCCCCTAGTTTGCTAGCAACCACTAGTTTGCTCTCTGTATACAAAGGACAAAGGTAAAATGTCATGATGAAACTGAGCAAAAGAATTATCTTGTGAGCAACACTACATAACTACACCAAAACTGCAACATCAGTTTCTATTTCCCCTATTCTCAGTTTTGTTTCCTTTTTGAAATTCTGAAAAAAAAACCAAACCTACCATTTGTTTCCATTACCTAGAAAATTAATTTTTGTTTTATTCAGTATTATTTTCTCTTTTTTTGGTATATTTTTTAATGGGAGTTAGATTTGCCAACATATAGCATAACACCCAGTGCGCATCCCATCAAGTGCCCCCCTCAGTGCCTATCACCCAGTCACCCCGTCCCCCTGCCCACCTCCCTTTCCACCACCCCTTGTTCGTTTCCCAGAGTTAGGAGTCTCTCATGTTCTGTCACCCTCACTGATATTTCCCACTCATTTTCTCTCCTTTCCCCTTTATTCCCTTTCACTATTTTTTATATTCCCCAAATGAATGAGACCATATAATGTTTGTCCTTCTCCGATTGACTTATTTCACTCAGCTTAATACCCTCCAGTTCCATCCACATCGAAGCAAATGGTGGGTATTTGTCATTTCTAATGGCTGAGTAATATTCCATTGTATACATTGACCACATCTTTTTTATCTATTCGTCCTTCGATGGACACTGAGGCTCCTTCCACAGTTTGGCTATTGTGGACATTGCTGCTAGAAACATTGGGGTGCAGGTGTCCTGCCGTTTCATTGCATCTGTATCTTTGGGGTAAATCCCCAGCAGTGCAATTGCTGGGTCTTAGGGTAGCTCTATTTTTAATTCTTTGAGGAACCTCCACACAGTTTTCCAGAGTGGCCGCACCAGTTCACATTCCCACCAACAGTGTAAGAGGGTTCCCCTTTCTCCACATCCTCTCCAACATTTGTTGTTTCCTGTCTTGTTGATTTTCACCATTCTCACTGGTGTGGGATGGTATCTTATTGTGGTTTTGATTTGTATTTCCCGGATGGCCAGTCACGCGGAGCAATTTCTCATGTGCTTGTCGGCCATGTCTATGTCTTCCTCTGTGAGATTTCTCTTCATGTCTTTTGCCCATTTCATGATTGGATTGTTTCTTTCTTTGCTGTTGAGTTTAATAAGTTCTTTATAGATCTTGGATACTAGCCCTTTATCTGATAGGCCATTTGCAAATATCTTCTCCCATTCTGTAGGTTGTCTTTCAGTTTTGTTGACTGTTTCTTTTGCTGTATAGAAGCTTTTTATCTTGATTAAGTCCCAATAATTCATTTTTGCTTTTGTTTCCCTTGCCTTCATGGATGTATCTTACAAGAAGTTGCTGTGGCAAAGTTCAAAAAGGGTGTTGCCTGTGTTCTCCTCTAGGATTTTGATGGAATCTTGTCTCACATTTAGATCTTTCATCCATTTTGAGTTTATCTTTGTGTATGGTGAAAGAGAATTGTCTAGTTTCATTCTTCTGCACATGGTTGTCCAGTTTTCCCAGCACCATTTATTGAAGAGACTGTTCTTTTTCCAGTGGATAGTCTTTTCTGCTTTCTCGAATATTAGTTGACCATAGAGTTGAAAGCCCATTTCTGGGTTCTCTATTCTGTTCCATTGATCTATGTGTCTGTTTTTGTGCCAGTACCACACTGTCTTGATGATCACAGCTTTGTAGTACAACTTGAAATCTGGCATTGTGATTTGGTTTTCTTTTTCAGGGATCCCTGGGTGGCACAGCAGTTTGGCGCCTGCCTTTGGCCCAGGGCGCGATCCTGGAGACCCGGGATAGAATCCCACGTCGGGCTCCCGGTGCATGGAGCCTGCTTCTCCCTCTGCCTGTGTCTCTGCCTCTCTCTCTCTCTGTGTGACTATCATAAATAAATAAAAATTTAAAAAAAAGAATTTTTGGTTTCTTTTTCAATATTCCCCAGCTCTGGTTTTCTTTTTCAATATTAGCTTGACTGTTCTGGGTCTTTTCCTATTCCACACAAATCTTAAGATGATCTGTTCCAACTCTCTGAAGAAAGTCCATGGTATTTTGATAGGGATTGGATTAAATGTGTAAATTGCCCTGGGTAGCATTGACATTTTCACAATATTAATTCTTCTAATTCATGAGCATGGAATATTTCTCCATCTCTTTGTGTCTTCCTCAATTTCTTTCAGAAGTGTTCTATAGTTTTTAGGGTATAGACCCTTCACCTCTTTGGTTAGGTTTATTCCTAGGTATCTTATGCTTTTGGGTGCAATTGTAAATGGGATTGACTCCTTAATTTCTCTTTCTTCAGTCTCATTGTTAGTGTACAGAAATGCCACTGATTTCTGGGCATTGATTTTGTATCCTGCCACACTGCCGAATTGCTGTATGAGTTCTAGCAATCTTGGGGTGGAGTCTTTTGGGTTTTCTATGTACAGTATCATGTCATCTGCAAAGAGGGAGAGCTTGACTTCTTCTTTGCCAATTTGAATGCCTTTTACTTCTTTTTGTTGCCTGATTGCTTGAGGTTAGGACTTCTAGTACTTTGTTGAATAGCAGTGGTGAGAGTGGACATCCTGTTGTGTTCCTGATCTTAGGGGAAAGGTTCCCAGTGTTTCCCCATTGAGAATGATATTTGCTATAGGCTTTTTGTAGATGGCTTTTAAGATGCTGAGAACATTCCCTCTATCCCTACACTCTGAAGAGTTTTGATCAGGAATGGATGCTGTATTTTGTCAAATGCTTTTTCTGCATCTATTGAGAGGATCATATGGTTGTTTTTTCTCTTATTGATATTATCTATCACGTTGATTGCTTTATGAGTGTTGAACCAGCATTACATCCCAGAGATAAATCCAATTTGGTCATGGTGAATAATCTTCTTAATGTACCGTTGGATCCCATTGGCTAGTATCTTGTTGAGATTTTTTGCATCTGTGTTCATCAGGGATATTGGTCTATAATTCTCCTTTTTGGTGGGGTCTTTGGTTTTGGAATTAAGGTGATGCTGGCCTCATAAAACGAGTTTGGAAGTATTCCATCCCTTTCTATCTTTCAGAACAGCTTTACTAGAATAGCTATTGTTTCTTCCTTAAACGTTTGATAGAATTCTCCTGGGAAGCCATCTGGCCCTGGACTTCTGTGTCGTGGGAGGTTTTTGATGACTGCTTCAATTTCCTCCCTGGTTATTGGCCTGTTCAGGCTTTCTATTTCTTCCTGTTCCAGTTTTGGTAGTTTGTGGTTTTCTAGAAATGTGTCCATTTCTTCTAGATTGCCTAATTTATTGGCGTATAGCTGTTCATAATATGTTTTTAAAATAATTTGTATATTTCCTTGGTATTGGTTGTGATCTCTCCTTTTTCATTCATGATTTTATTAATTAGAATCTTTTCTCTTTTGTTTTTAATAAGGCTGGCTAATGGTTTATCTATCTTATTAATTCTTTCAAAGAACAAACTCCTGGTTTTATTGATCTGTTCTACAGTTCTTATGGTCTCTATTTCATTGAGTTCTGCTCGAATCTTTATTAACTCTCTTTTTCTACTTGCTGTAGTTTTATTTGCTGTTCTTTCTCCAGTTCCTTTAGGTGTGAGGTTAGCTTGTGTATTTGAGTTTTTTCCAATTTTTTTGAGGGATGCTTGTATTGTGATGTATTTCCCTCTCAGGACTGCTTTAGCTGTATCCCAAAGATTTTGAATGGTTGTATCTTCATTCTCACTAGTTCCCATGAATCTTTTTAATTCTTCTCTAATTTCCTGGTTGACCATTTCATCTTTTAGCAGGATGCTCTTTAACATCCACGTGTTTGAGTTTCTTCGAAATTTCTTCTTGTGATTGAGTTCAAGTTTCAAAGCATTATGGTCTGAAAATATGCAGGGGGACTATCCCAATCTTTTGGTATAGGTTAAGACCTAATTTGTGACCCAGTATGTGGTATATTCTGGAGAAAACTCCATGTGCACTTGAGAAGAATGTGCATTCGATTGCATTTGGATGTAAAGTTCTGTAAATATATGTGAAATATATCTGGTCCAGTGTATCATTTAAAGCTCTTGTTTCTTTGGAGAGGTTGTGCTTAGAATATCTGTCATTTGCAGAAAGTGGCATGTTGAAGTCTCCCAGTATAAGTGTATTATTATTATCTAAGTATGTTTTTACTTTGGTTATTAATTGATTGATTTACTTGGCAGCTCCCACATTAGGTGCATAAATATTCATGATGGTTAAGTCCTCTTGTTGGATAGATCCTTTAAGTATGATATAGTGTCCCTCTTCATCTCTTACTACAGTCTTTGGGATAAACTTTATCTGATATGAGGATTGCTACACCTGCTTTCTTTTGAGGATCATTTGAATGGTAAATTGTCCTCCAACCTTTCATTTTCAGAATGTAGGTGTCCTTAGGTCTAAAATGAATCTCTTGGCCCCGGAAGCGGTCCCGCAGCGGCGGCGGTGGCGGCCCCCGCGCCCGAGGCCTGGCCGGAGCTGGAGCTGGCGGAGCGCGAGCGGCGGCGGGAGCTGTTGCTGACGGGGCCGGGGCTGGAGCAGCGGGTGCGCGAGGCGGGCGGGCGGCTGCCGCCGCGGCTCTTCACGCTGCCGCTGCTGCACTACCTGGAGGTGAGCGGCTGCGGGAGCCTGCGGGAGCCGGGCCCGGGGCTGGCGCAGGGCCTCCCGCAGCTGCACAGCCTCGTGCTGCGGCGCAACGCGCTGGGGCCCGGCCTGAGCCCCGAGCTCGGCCCACTGCCCGCGCTGCGCGTGCTCGACCTGTCGGGCAACGCGCTGGAGGCGCTGCCGCCGGGCCAGGGCCTGGGCCCCGCCGAGCCGCCGGGGCTCCCGCAGCTACAGAGCGTCAACCTCAGCGGCAACCGGCTGCGCGAGCTGCCCGCCGACCTGCCGCGCTGCGCCCCGCGCCTGCAGACGCTCAACCTCACGGGCAACCGCCTCGACTCCTTCCCCGCCGCGCTCTTCCGGCCCGGGGCGCTGCCGCTGCTTAGCGAACTGGCGGCTGCCGACAACTGCCTGCGGGAGCTCAGCCCCGACGTCGCGCACCTGACCTCGCTCAAGACGCTGGACCTCTCCAACAACCAGCTCAGCGAGGTCCCGGCAGAGCTGGCTGACTGCCCCAAGCTCAAGGAAGTCAACTTCCGGGGAAACAAGCTGACAGACCGGCGGCTGGAGAAGATGGTGCACGGCTGCCAGACCAAGTCCATCCTGGAGTACCTGCGCAGCGGAGGCCGGGGTGGCGGGCGGGGCAAGGGCAGGGCAGACGGTCCTGAGAAGGAAGAGGCCCGCAGGAGGCGGCGCGAGAGGCGGAGGAGGGAGAGTGGTGAGGGCGAGGAGGAGGAGGTGGGCAGCACCAGCAGGCTGCTGCTCCGCGTCCTGCATGTGTCTGAGAACCCCACCCCGCTGACCGTGCATGTCAACGCCGCAGTCAAGGATGTCCGGCCATTCATTGCGGGGGCTGTCGTGAGAGGCATGGACCTGCAGGCTGGGAATGCGCTCAGACGGTTCCTCACCTCCCAGACAAAGCTCCACGAGGACATCTGTGAGAAGAGAACAGCGGCCACCATCGCAACCCACGACCTCCGGGCCGTGCGTGGGCCCCTGGTCTACACCGCCCGCCCGCCGCAAGACCTCAAGATTGTCCCCTTGGGGCGCAAAGAAGTCAAGGCCAAGGACCTGGTGCGGCAGTTGCAGCTAGAGGCTGAGGAGCATAGGAAGCAGAAGAAAAGACAGAACGTCTCAGGCCTCCACAGGTATCTGCACTTACTGGATGGGAAGGAGAATTACCCCTGCCTCGTGGATGCTGATGGTGACGTGATTTCTTTCCCACCGATAACCAACAGCGAGAAGACAAAGATTAAGAAAACAACTTCTGATCTGTTTTTGGAAGTAACAAGTGCTACAAGTCTACAGACCTGTAAAGAGATAATGGATGCCCTCGTGCTGAAAATGGCAGAAATCAACAAGTACACTCTAGAAAATAAAGAGGACGGATCCCTTTCAGATCCTGAAGCTGATGCAGTTTCTGGACCACCTCTGGGTCCCAGCACAAGCCCAAGTGCCGAAAAGGACGGCAGTGCCCCGCTGGTGGTGGAGCAGGTCCGGGTGCTGGATGAGGACGGGCACCTGAGAGTGGTGTACCCCTCCAAGACGGACTTGGGCTGTGCTGCTCCCCACATGACCGTGATCCACTGAGCCCCAGGCAGCATGTCCGCCACTGCCACGCGTGTCCTCAGCCGTGCCTCTTGTGGTGACATCAAGTTACGCATCACATTTTCACCCCGGTGGTTCTCAAGGTGCACGCGTTGGCTCTTTGATCGTCCAGACAGTTCTCTCCCGTTGCAGTGACACCACATTATCCTGGGCTTGAATCACTTTCCCTTTCCAGCACCAAATTGATTACTAACGCTTTACGAAATTATTCAAATATCGGAATTAACTGTTCAAAACGTTCTGAGATGATGTGGATATAGCAAATACCTTTATTCAGGGGGAAAAAACACTAATTGGCTTGGATAGTCAGCTGTACCCTGGGAAGCTAAAGAACACACATTTCGCTGAGCTATACCATTACTTTTCTACAATACGGCATCTTTTAAAACCACACCACACCAGTGGTACAGCCTACAGATGTGGAGTGATGTCATGTTCCTACCTTGCCGCAAATCGTCATCTTTTTATGAAAAGAATATTTTTTAGGTGACTTTAAAATTGGTGGAAGCATTTTTTTTCCCTTAATATTACGGTTGGATATGTTAGGGGTAGAGCCACAGCATCCCCTCCTTGGGCCCCAGGGGAGGAGCAGGGCTGTGCTCGTGTACACTGGCACCGTGGGGAGGAGCAGACAGCAGAACACGCAGCTCAGGCCAAGCCCATGGTTCCCTGTTGCAGAACGGGCTTCCATGCACAAGCCAGACTGTTCTGTCAGCATCTGGCTAAAGGACAGATGGGCAGGGGCTGTGGGAGGCCAAGTTTGGAGCTGGCGACCACAAAGCGGGTGCCAGGTGAACCGTTCTTGAGCATTTTGTGTTTTAGGTTACTTCCAGTTTTGAATGTCTCGGACAAGCTGTGTGTATACGTCTGTGTGAGTCTGCACGTGCTTGCATACAGGCACCGGCCAGCCAGCCACTCAGGTGGTTTTTACGGACTCACAGACTTTTTATTTAATGTCTCCATCTTTGTCACCTTCTGTGACCTGCGAAAGTCAGGCTGTGTGTTCTGTGGATTTGGGGAGCATTTGCAAGCGGCCACTGAACCCACGCTTTTAGCCACTGAAACCAGACATATGGGGGCTCACTGACAAAGGCACATGGTTCTCCCAGAGCTCAGCCAACCCGCTCTGTAGGACACTGCACGGCTGCCTTGAGACCCCAACCTCGCTCTCTGGACATCCCCAGGCCTTCCCCTCTGTCCCTGAAGGCGGTGGCTGGGCTGAAGTACGTGAACCAGATGGTGGCTTTTCCTCGTTCTGTTAACCACAACCCTACTGAACATCTGGCTGGTGCCTCTGGCTTGTCCTCTCATGAGCCCCGGGCACTCGGTGCTGACTGCTGTGGGTGCTGTGGCTGGAGCCCTGTAGCCAGACGGCTCAACCCTGTGTTGAACCCTGTGTGCGGTGCACAGATGTGTTGAACTTACCTTGGGAAACCAGACATCCTTGGTCTCTGCTGCCAGCCATCCCTTTGATAAACCCTGACATTCTTGCCGGCCTGACCTTCTAATAAAAGTCATTTCATAAAAAAAAAAAAAAAAAAAAAAAAATGAATCTCTTGTAGGGCAGCCCGGGTGGCTCAGTGGTTTAGCGCCACCTTCAGCCCAGGGCGTGATCGTGGGGATCTTGGATCTAGTCCCACTTCAGGTTCCCTGCATGGAGCCTGCTTCTCCCTCTGCCTGTGTCCATGTCTCTCTCTCTGTCTCTCATGAATAAATAAAATCTTTAAAAATAAAATAAAATTAGTCTCCTGTAGACAGCAAATAGGTGGGTCTTGCTTTTTTATCCAGTCTGAAACCCTGCCTCTTTGATGGGATCATTAAGCCCAATCACGTTCAGAGTTACTATTGAAAGGTATTAATTTAATGTCAGCATAATACCTATTCAGTCCCTGTTTTTGTGGATTATTTCTTTGGGTGTCCTCTTTCTTTTTTTCTTTTTTGAGATTTATTTATTTATGATAGACATAGAGAGAGAAAGAGAGAGAGAGAGAGAGAGGCAGAGACACAGGAGGAGGGAGAAGCAGGCTCCATGCCGGGAGCCTGATGCAGGACTCGATTCTGGGGCTTCAGGATTGTACCCTGGGCCAAAGGCAGGCGCTAAACCGCTGAGCCACCCAGGGATCCCCGGTCCTCTTTATTTTACAGAGTCCCCCTTAATATTTCTTGCAGAGCTGATTTGGTGGTCACATATTCTTTTAGTTTCTGCCTATCTTGGAAGCTCTTTATCTCTCCTTCTATTCTGAATGAGAACCTTGCTGGATAAAGTATTCTTGGCTGCAGGTTCTTCTCTTTTAGGACTCTGAATATATCCTGCCAGCCCTATATGGCCTGCCAGGTCTCTGTGGAGAGGTCGGCTGTTAATCTAATATTTCTCCCCATATAAGTTAGGGATCTCTTGTCTCTTGCTGCTTTAAGGGTTTTCTCTTTATCTTTGGAATTTGCAAATTTCACTATTAAATATCAAGGTGTTGAAAAGTTTTTATTGATTTTAGGGGGCGACCTCTCTATCTCCTGGATCTGAATGCCTGTTTCCCTCCCCAAATTAGGGAAGTTCTCAGCTATGATTTGTTCAACTATGCTTTCTGGTCCTCTGTCCCTCTCGGTGCCCTCTGGAACCCCAATTAAATGTAGATTTTTCCTTCTGAGGCTGGCATTTATTTCCCTTAACCTTTCCTCATGGTCTTTTAATTGTTTTTCTTCTTTTTTCCTCAGCTTCCTTCCTTGCCATCAACTTATCTTCTATGTCACTCATTCTTTCTTCTACCTCATTAGCCCTCATCGTTAGGACCTCCAGTTTGGATTGCATCTCATTTAATTGGTTTTTAATTTCAGCCTGATTAGATCTAAATTCCACAGTCATGAAGTCTCTTGAATCCTTTATGTTTTTTTCCAGAGCCAACAGTAGCTTTATAATTGTGCTTCTGAATTGGCTTTCTGACATCGAATTGTAATCCAAATTCTGTAACTCTGTGGCAGAGAGTACCGTTTCCGATTCTTTCCTTTGTGGTGAGTTTTTCTTTCTAGTCATTTCGCTCAGTGCAGAGTGGCTAAAAATGAGTTGTACTTGTTAGAAGCGCAAACTCTTCTCTCTGTAGTGTTCCAGCTGTTCTCTCTTTAAATCTCGGGTCAAATTCATAGGTTTTCAGGATGATTTGAAAGTTATCTAGGTAAATTGGTGGGGACAGGTGATGTGGGGACCCTACTCCTCCACCATCTTGCTCCTCAGTATTATTTTCTTAAATATACTTCATTTTTTATTAACTCCGTGGTTTGGTTATTTTATTTTCATCTTTTTCATATTAAGAAAACATTTTTAAGACTGTGAGTCTGCCTTTGAGGCCATATATTGGCATCATCCTATGAGATTTTATATTTAGCATTTCCATTATTGTTATTTTCTAAAGAGTTTATATTTACATTTTTAATTTCCTCTTTATGTCAAGAGTTACTTTGGAAAAGCCTTTTTAATTTCCAAGTGATTTAGGTGTTGCTTTTTTTCTGTTCTTATTTTCCAATTTAATTACAATATAATCAGAAAATGTTATCTGTACAATTTTGCTTTGGGGAACTTACTGGAGTTTTTATGTAGCCTAAAATGTGTTGATATTTATAAAATTCCCAGTGCTGTTTTCTACAGTGTATAAAGTTTAGCATACACACATTATATCTATCTTACTACTCACATTATTCAGACTGTTCAAATTTTTATTTTTTCTACTTAATGTTTTGCCTTTTGATCTTTCCAAGAAATCAGAGAAACATGCACTCAGAGAAATGTGTTTTTATCAATTTGTCCTCAAATTTATGACTGCTTTCTCCTCATATATGTAGAGCTGTATTATAAAGCCTTATGAAGGGGGCAGCCTGGGTGGCTCTGCGGTTTAGTGTCCTCTTCAGCCCAGAGCATGATCCTGGAGACCCCGGATGGAGTCCCATATCGGGCTCCCTGCATGGAGCCTGCCTCTCCCTCTGCCTGTGTCTCTGGCATTGGTGTCTCTGCCTCTCTCTCTCTCTGTGTGTATATCATGAATAAATAAATAAAATCTTTAAAAAAAAGCTTTAAGAGGATTATATTTTTGTGTATCTTTTATCAATGTAGGACAAATCTCTTTATAACTTTTTTGTTTTAAATTTTATCTATTTGAGAGGGAGTGTGTGAGAGAAAGAACAGGGTGGAGGAGCTGGGTGGAAGGGGCAGAGGGAGGAGCAGACTCCCTGCTGAGCCCAGATCAGGGCTTGATTCCATGACCCTGGGATCATGACCTGATCCAAAGGCAGATGCATAACTGAACGAGCCACCCCGGTGCCCCTTTTCTAAAAGCTTTTATTTTAATTCCAGTTAGCTTACAGTGTTATATTAGTTTCAGGTATACAATATATTGATTTAACACTCCATACAGCACCTGGTGCTCATCACAAGTGCACTCCTTAATCCTCATCATGTGGGACGCCTGGGTGGCTCAGTGTTTGAGCGTCTGCCTTTGGCCCAGGGCATGATCCTGGAATCCCAGGATCGAGTCCCATATCGGGCTCCCTGCATGGAGTCTGCTTCTCCCTCTGCCTCTCTCTCTCTCTCTCTGTATGTCTCTCATGAATAAATAAATAAAATCTTTAAAAAAAATCCTCATCACCTATTTCACCCATCCCCTGACCCTTTTTATCAGATTTAATGGTTTTTTTTTCCTCCTTTGACTTCTACTTTAATTGGTCCTATTATAGCTACCCTTCTTCCTTTTTTTTTTTTTTTAGTTTTTACTTACTTATTTATTCATGAGAGACACAGAGAGAGGCAGAGACATAGGCAGAGGGAGAAGCAGGCTCCCCCACAGGGAGCCTGATGTGGGACTCAATCCCAGACCCCGGGATCATGACCTGAGCCAAAGGCAGATGTTCAACTGCTGAGCCACCAGACATAGCTAAATATTAGTAAAGAAAACTTAATTTTGCCTGGTAATTGATGGACCCTTTTGCCTGCAAACTGGCTTACCTGCAATTAACAGTTTTTTTTCTATGACTGCATTAATTATAGCATATATAACATAACGTTTGTTCTTCTTCAGGAAACCAGATATGTTTCCTGAAACATATGTTTTTGTTTTTTCATTTTTGTTAGCTTCCTGTTTATCAGGAATATGTTCCTAATATGTTTTTGTTCTTTTTCATTTTTGTTAGCTTCATGTTTATCATTTTTCCTTTCTTTTTTTTTCTTCTATCTGTGAGATCTTCTCTAATTTGTTCTGTTTTTATTTTATTTTGAATTTCCTATTTTGAAAAAACATTTCCAAAACTCAGAAAATCTCATGAAGAGTACAATGAACTTATATGTATTTTCATCTGGATTCATCAGTTTTTTAAAAATGATTATTTATTTATTTATTCTTTTGACAGAGAGAGAAAGCACAAGCAGGGGGAGTGGCAGGCAGAGGGAGAGGGAGAAGCAGGCTCCAAGCGGGGAGCCTGAGGCTGGACTTGACCCCAAGATCCTGGGAT